TATGGAAACCCTCGCCAAATAAATAATTCTTTATAGTTGTCTCCACCGGTACTATACTCTTATCGTATGGCTATTTCAAAGTAAGCAAGGTTTATTTTATTTTATACTAATAAACTAACTTATATTGTTGACATTACTTTACAATGTCACTGCATAATTAGTAAACAATAATTTTATTTTAACATTAGTATAATTTGTTTATAAATTTAAATAATAAGCTAACCTTCATGCCCCACAAATGTGCTGCACTATTAACGCACCAGGTTATATTTAGCACGACGGCATACCTAAACATAACACAGGTAAACCAGGAATTCCATATGGTTTCTCCCCATAGATAATGTGGTAAATAGGTGGGCAATACACCCCATATCAGAATAACCAACGGTATGTAAAAGGATCGCTGAAACTGAATGACCGGATCCTTATCCAAGTCACTCATGTTTATAGTCTTTCCCTTAGCCATCACTTCGGGATGTTTTCGGCTTAACAACCAACCGATGTGTGAGAAAAAGAAACCATTTTTGGAGTTATGAGGGTCGGCGTCGGTGTCCGAGTACTTGTGGTGCACCCGATGGTCGCGACTCCACTCGTAGATGTCGTTCTCGAGCGCCAGGGTATCGAAAATCATTAACATTATCTGTAGGGGCAGTTTGGCCTTAAAGGTCCGGTGACACCATAGCCTGTGAGCGCCCACCTATTTGTATATTTTATACAAATTGTAAAATTAATAGCTTCAGAATTTGCTGTATTTATGAAAACACATAAGTAGCTCAAATCAATTTAATTAAACATACCTGGATGCCAAACGAGCAACATAATGTTAAGAAGTAGGTGAACAGGAATGTTTTCCAACTAACGGTGTAAATAGCCAGGAAAAAGCCATTAGTGGCCGATAAGTGCACGATTAGCATCAGGATAATATTTCTCCATACCCATTCGCGCTTGAATGGCTTTACATTATCAGTTTGATCATGTGCCTGGGCACTTTTTATTATTAAATCCTCATTTACTTTAGTGTCCTCGCTAGCCGTCCTAAATGCATTAATTATATTGAGTAAAATAATTAGTATTAAATTAAATGACTTGTATATCTTACATTTTTAAAAATAAATTAATAAGTATTTTGCTTAAAATAAATAGGTGCTATTATATTTGAACACTAAATCTAATTTTCTAAATTTGTTAGCTATTTATAGGCCATAATTTTCAAAAACATGTTAACATTATAGTGAAAAAACCATAAATTATTGTGTGTGGTTTATTATTTATTCAATTATTTAGTTAATATCCTGGTGAATCAGTTTGTTGATTGATAATCAACACGTAAATACAATTATAAGATTTTAAACAATTATAATTACAATTAATTAAATGCAGATCTTGTAAACAATTTTGACATTTATGACGTTAGTATCACATTTGCTTGATAGAAAAAATGCATTTAATTTAGTGAAATCTAATAATTTTCAATGTTATTTTTAATTGTCTCTAAATATAACTCTTGCTAAAAAGCAAAATGTAAATGTCAACACTTTTAATTTATTGGATTCACAAATTAATGTACACATTTGTATAGATTATAATTATTTGTAAGTTTGTGCTGGTATTAAATGTAATTAAATTAAATAAATAGCTAATTAAACATGTAATTTATTTGATTATTTGTTTAAAAATCATTAAAAATCAAGTACTGTATATCAGATAATTGTTAATTTTGTTATATATTTATCATATGCTTATAACATTAAAAGACAACAAATGATAATAAGTGTTTTGCATAATATATAAGTTATTAAACTTTAAAAATAAA